AAAAATAGTCTTCAGAAATCAATAAAGGCAAATCTACATGAATTGAACAAAATTGAACTCACCCAGGATGGTGAGAAAATTAGGGTTCATCAGGTAGGGATGAGGTGGGTTGGCCGTTTTAGGGTTTGAAGTCGGCAGTGGCCAGTGGGGGTGTGAATTTATGAATTTATAGACGTGTTGGGTAGGGTTTTGAGGAGTAGTCGGCTTTAAGAAAATGGTAAAACATAAATACTCAGTGAATTTCCTTAATCGAAGAGGATTTTCTAAATCACTTGCTTGAATTTACCTTGAAGTACTAATACATTTTTCTTCAAGAATTACTATATTCAAGAACTTCTTTGAATTTCTCTAAATAAATGAAAAGATATTGATGTCGTGTTATCGGTGTTAATATTGGTATCTATGTCTAATATTTTACAATATGATAATCAAATTAATACTGTTAACTGAAAAGAAGAAAATAATGAAAATTGTTTATGTGTCTTGGAGTTTAATAGTTCATGTATGTTATTGAACGTGAACACTTGTGTATGACGTGGGAAAGAAGACAACGAATGATACATATAGAGATATGACAGAATGATGCTCACTAGAAAGCAAAATGTACAAGTCAGTTTCACAAACCTTCTAGCTCAGGATAACATAAAGATGACGTGTAAGACATGATGTATGAACATTGAAATTTCGATATAATCTATTAAAATTTTAGTACATTTTGATGATTTTGATTATTTAGTGCGTTCTGGCAATATTGATTATTAATTAGCGGGTTCTATAAATTTTTAGTATTTTTTATTAAAAAATAAAAACCAAATTAAGCTTTACCAACGGAATATCCATATGTGAAAAGTATTGTTAACTACTAGAAAATACCTTCAACAATGGATTGTCATTTGGTAAAAGATAATTCTTTTTACATGACAATATTTTTTGCCAACTAATTCTCCATTAGTAATGACAAATATTTTTACCAACAAACATTTCCGTTGTTTTCGCCTACAAAATATCCGTTGATAATGACAAATATATTGTAAATATTTTTACCAATGGATTTTCCTTTGGTAATGAAAAACCTTTTATCTATGGAAATTTCGTTGATAAAAATTTTACACGTTACCTATGAAAAATTCATTAGTAATTACTAGTGACCTTTAAATTAGCAACAGGTTTGTGGTGGAAAATTTTCGTTGGTGAAGACTAATATTAACTAATATCGTCGCTTCAAGAACAAAAAAATTGTGTCTGAAGCCACTTTTTTTGCACTTAGTAAAAATTTGGAAAAAATAAATTCGAAAAGAAAATTTAAAATAAATAAAAGCTAGTGCATAAAACAAAATAAGCATAACAAATTTGAAAAAAGAAAGTACGTAAAATAGAATACACGTGCATGAACATGCATTAAATGTTTATTTGAAGGAATTCAAATTTTAGCAAGAATTATTAACATAGTCGAGTCTCAAAAATTGAAGCAATCAAAATATAGAATAATCTATTTGTTGAAGTGATTACTAGCATTGGAGAAAATCCGATCGAACTATAGAGAAGGAAATGAGTCAATAGTACAATTTCAACTTTAGAATACACGCTAAAAGAGAGTTTAAAGAACAAGTTTGGAATTGTAAATCTTACGAACGAATAAAGGATATATTTTATCATTGAAGATCGAGAACCGAATATATATTTATAATGTTTGATTGAATTTTTCACACACTCATATCGATTTAACATTGAATAAGTGGCAATAGGTCTTGGTATCATGATTTTGAAGCTCTTTATAGGTTATTCACGAAATTCCAAAAAATAAGGCAAAATCGTAAGCTATCTAACTATTTGATGTTTTGCATGTTTGTTTGTTGAGGCAAGCACATGATTTTGTTCGAGAATGAACAAATGTTTAAGTTTGCACGTATTTGAAAAAAGTGTATTTTGTACATTTACTTAGACCATTAGATATGGAGATTTGGGAGTACTTTTAATTTTTTTTGCTTAATCTCGTATA